GGGAGGCAGGATTGTTCAAAATTAGTCCCGTGGCACCCCTCAGGCTGCCCTGCAGTCCTGGCATCACTGTCGAGTGCTCTGGGGAAAGAACCATCAGGTACAGTGTCACTGACGAAGTCTGTGGAGTTCTGAGGGCTGTTACAAGTCCTGGGCGTAACTGATGGGGGCATATCGCCCATAAATTCTGCATCCTCTGTGCTGACACTGTTCTGGACTGCCGAATTGGCATGGCCATTGACTAGGGCTTCTGTGGAAACACTATCATCACCACCATCTTTCAAGTAACTGTAATATCCGGGTGGCCGTTTTTTCTTCTTTTTACGCTCCCTTTGTCCAAGACCACCTGAGACACCATCATTGTCCAAAACTTCTGCCTCTACATTAGAGCTGCTATCCAAAGCGAGGGCAGAGTCTGGGTACTGGCAGTCAATGGAGCTGTAGTTTACGTCTTTATCTATGCCATCAGGGGTCTTTTTGGAAGTTGTACAACTGAGAATAAATTCAGGGGCCTGAGGATTCAATGTGCTTGAAATACTGTAGCTGGGGTTTCTCAGCAAAGAATCGTCGGGTTCAATTACTTCATTAACACCAAACTCAATTCTCTGATATTCCTGTCCTGTGTAGAAAGAAAATGATCAGTAAATACCCCACTAGTTAAGAACAGCTGTACAAACTATAAAAGCACCAATAATTTACTCATTTTCATTTCTGAAAACTGAAACCTTAAATTCTTTTCTTAATTAACAAAGCTATGACATTTTATTTCTGTGATGAATAAATAATCTGCTGAAATTAAATAACTACAAAATTATATTTAATTTGAGGATATGAAAAACGGAAGCCCGGGCTCATCTTTGAAGTCTCCAGGTGACTAAGGAAGACTTTCAGAAAGTGGAAATTAAAATACATTTGTGATAAAAAACTAATAATATTTTGCCTGTTTAAAAACAACCCTCAGTGGAATCTGACTTCATTATAGCTTATTTTTATACCTGAGATAAGGGAATATGTATTTTGGAAAACTTAATTTTAAAAAATTCATGACAATTAACTTAGGAACTTAAAACATCTTACACAGGCTTCTTTAGTTACTGTGATTTAATAATTCCAAAAATATAAACTACACAAAGAATCTTAAATATAAAAGTGTGTTTCCAGAAGCACTCTTTCAAATTAACCATCTCTTGGTCTCCTTTGCTGACAACCTTAACTGACATCTGAAAATGGCCCTAGCATGAACACATGTAAATGTCCACTACGTGAACTCATATTGGACTAACTCCGTGGGTGGTAAGGACACTTTCAAAAATACCAAAAGATAAAGTTAAGAATGTGAACTTTTACAAGTCTCTTTGGAAGTCTTCAATATCTCCTCCCAGTTAACAACAATCTACATATTCCACTCATGCTAAGATGGACATTTTTTCATAGTTCACATCTCTGAAATTAGGTTAAGTATTACCATCAATTGTGTCTTTCAACAGATATCGAGCATCAATATAGCCTTTGATTTTAAGAAATTATACATTTTGAAGTTAAGGTAAGAAAGGACACCTTATAATTAGCTTTTATTGCACAACTGAAGATTTCTTCAAGTCTAGCATAGGAGACCAATTTTTCTTTTCAAGGCATCTATTTCAAGAAAAGAATCATAATACCCAAAGAATGGTGTTCTATTGCAGAGAACTGAATATATTTTACCTTGGAAAAACCCTCAGAAGTCTTTTTGTAGAAGACAAAGCACAGACCCAGAGAGGGGCCAGTTACATGCAAGTGAGCAGGAGGGAGGAAGACAGGGACCCAACAGTCTCCAAGTCTTCTCCATTCATTTCAATATCACAGGTCCTCCCCCGCCACCCCCAAAAAGAACACTGATGATGATTATATCTATCTAATAGCAACTTTACATATAAAACCACCAACAGGACAATCTAATTCCTCTGGCCATTAAGTATTTATTTTTTGTTCCCTTACTTTGAAAAGAAATCATCAAAGAGAAATGTCTTTTATTTTTATTTTTATACTTAGGGGATGACTGTCCGTTTTGCTTCCAGGCATCACCTATTCCATGATATGTTGAGGCTGCAATGCTACGTGGACTGCAGTGGGTGTGCCTGAAGCAGTGAAGAACACTCCATGTGGGACGGTACCCTTTAGAGACTGTGTTACACGTTATAAAATCACATTAAAAATTGGCATGCATTGTGTCACAAAGCTTATGCAAGACTGATTATTTTCAACAGACACAGTGCCTTCCACATCTCAATTCTCAACCTTATCAGATAATACAACATTCTAGAATACGATGTAACATGAGTGGAACCATTTTAATACACTACGGCTATTAGTAAAACATTTACCCAATATAGTGTTTGATCACATCAAAAAACAGAAGGCAGATTCTTAACCAGAACAGTTCCTATTCTCATGGAGGAACACTCCGTGGACACACGTGCACTGCATGGCAGAGAGCTGTGACAGAGCCCAATCTGTCATGCTGGAGGAGTGGGGAGAGGCCGGCAAACTCAGCTTTAAGCAATCCCATCAATACACTGATTGGGAAGATGGGAACTCAACACTCAGGTCACATAGGCAGTGGATTTGTTGGGGGAAAGAGAACCAGCTCAAATGGAATAATGACATCCTAACGCAGCATTTCTTAAAGTCTGTTCATTGCAGTACCTGCAGTACAGTGGCCTGGGGTGCGAGGTGGGGATGGGCAACAGAGATTAGTAGGGCAAGGTCCCTGCTCAAGGGGTTTATGTTTACTAGGAAGACAAATGCAAACTACCAAGGACGACAATGCAGACGGAGGATGAGACAAGGCTGGGAACAGCTTTATAAAAAGAATGCTTCCAGTCACAGGAAAAAGTGATCGATTTCAATCAGAGGCTATAGACAGGTCAGTGGAACCTGAAGGTAACTGGATTTGGGGAAGGTGGAGATATGATATTTCAAACTTTAGGAATTGTCTAAAAAAGGCAAAGGTATGAAAGTGTATGCCTTGATGAGGTGTCCCTGCAAGTGGCTTGTTGTGACTGGCTGTGGTGGGAGGTAGCAGAATAAGGCATTCTAAATCACTCATCCAACAAACATACTGAGGGTCTATAAAATTCCAGATATTCTACTGTACAGCTGACAGACATACAAAAATGAAAATAGTCCTTGCCATCAACAGCTGAGCACAGCCTAAAAAGAAAGGCAGATTCACTGCTATACAGTGGGGTAGGCACTGTAAGAGAAACAAAAGTAATGGAAACACAAGAGAACCAAAAAAACCTTTGGAGAAAGAGGGACCTTTAAGTAGGCCTATCACTAACTGTGCAAGAAAGCAGCAAGATTTTAGTTATGTTTTCAGCAGAATAAAAGACAAATTTGAAAGAAGACAGCAGAGGGCCGAGCCTGTGGCGCACTCGGGAGAGTGTGGCGCGGGGAGCGCAGCAGCGCTCCCGCCGTGGGTTCGGATCCTACATAGGGATGACCGGTGCGCTCACAGCGCTTGCTGGCTGAGCGCAGTGCGGCTGGTCTCAAAAAAAGGACCAAAAAAAAAAAAAGAAGACAGCAGAGAATTGAGAAAAAGAGCCAAGAAGAAGTAAATGAAAAGGGACAACAGCCTGTAAAGAAGAAGTGGATGAGAGGTGTGGAATCAGAAAATCCCAGGCTGGGGAGAGGAAGAGCTGGTGGTGCTTACCTACTGGGAAGAGGGTGAGGCCGTTAACTGAAGGAGAGAGGAAAAGTGATGTGGAAGGAAAAAAAATGGAACGCCTATAAGCATTAGATAAACATTTTGCAGCATGCTTAGTATGTGCAAAGCACACAGACAGAGGGAAATCCCACTGACACAGATGCCTGAAGTCTAAGACATTAGAAGATTAAAGAGGCTCAGAAGGTTGACCAGCCTGGCTTTTGGGTCCCTAGAGCTTCATCTATTTTACTACTCGTCCTAGGCTATTATTAGATCTGCTTGCTCCCTTATGGTCTTCTATATTAATGTTTCTTATACGACTGCTAATAATTTTCAATATAATCACTTCCTGATGTTACTGTAGATAAAAAGTTTAGTCTTTTCAAGGTTTACAGTTAAAACTAAATTATAATTAAAACCCCTTTAATAAATCTGATCATGTTAACTAAGTAGGGAATCCAAATCCCCAACTCTCAAAGAAAACATTTGGCTTCGGGCCAGCCCGGTGGCGCACTGCTACAGTGCGTCACTTGGGAGCGCGGCAGAGGGTTTGGATCCCACATACAGACCGGTTCCCGCTCACTGGCTGAGCGAGGTGCGGGCGCAACACCGAGGGTTGCGGTCCCGTTGCCGGTCCCGTACGGGCGCGACACTGAGGGTTGCGATCCGTTGCCGGACACGAAAAAAGACAAAAAAAAAGGAAAAAAAAAAAAAAAAAAAATTTGGCTTTCAGCTTCTAAGTAGTCCAGACTAAAAAACGGTCTAAGCGGGTTTGAA